TCCTGCCTCTGCCTCCCAAGTTGCTGGGACCTCAGGCACCAGCCACAATGCCTGGCTATTTTTTTCGGTTGCAGCCATCATTGTTGTTTGGCGAGCCCGGGTTGGATTTGAACCCGCCACCTTAGGTGTACGTAGCTGGCGCCTTAGCCACTTGAACCACAGGTGCCGAGCCCATAATCTTCTAGTATTCATTGTTTCCGATGAGAAATTTACCATCATTCAAATTGTTCTTCCTCCGTAGGTAAAGTGTCATTTCTTTTTCATTGCTTTCAAGATATTTTTTGTTTTATTTTAGTTTTCTAAAATTAGATTATAAATGTCTTAGGGTTTAATTCAGTTTCTTGGATCTATAGATTTATATCTTTTGCCAAATTTGGAAAGATTTCAGCTATGATTTCTCTGAATGTTTTTTCACCCTCACCATTTATTTCTTCTTTTTCTGGAACTCCAAAGATGTGAATTTTAGATCTTTTTGTAGTCTGACTTGTCCCTTAGTTTCTATTATGCTTTTCTTCCCTTTATTTTCTCTGTGTTGTTCAGACTGAGTAATTTCTATAATTCTATCTTCAGGTTCACTGGTCCATTCTTTCTGTCTATTCCCATTCTGCTGAGACCATTATGTTTTTAAATGTCTACCTCAATTCTGAAATGTCCATTTGTTTCTTCTTTCTATTCTCTCTTTCTTTGCTAAGCCCTTCTATTTTTCAAGTTTTTCAAGCATGGCCATATTTCCTCACTAAAGCAATTTTATGATGGCTACTTTAAAATCCTTGTCAGATGACTGTGGCATCTGTCATGTCAGCGTTAGTATCTGTTGATTTTTTTTCCCGGCAGGTTTAGATTTCCCTAGGTTTTTATATGAGTGATTCTTAATTGTATTCTGGGTATTTGTCCAACTATGATATACTACTCTGAATCCTACTTAAATCTCTCTGAAGATAAAGGGAGGAGTTGATTAGTTACTGCTACATTGGTGTGGAAGCCCAGTGTCCCCAGTTGGCTTCCTTCAGCTCCTTGGAGAAGGATGCTTACTTACTGCTAGGTGGAGCTGGGATATTAGGCTCCTCACTATTCATCTGATGACATCACCCTGACTAGCTGGGAAGGGGAAAGGCCCCTTTTTAGGGATTTCAATATGCCTCCACTAACACCACTGGCAGAAGGGAGTCCTCACTACCAATGTATGAAGGCAAAAGTTGAAGCTACCAACTCTGTCCTCTGATGTGAATTGGATAAAGAGAAATGTCTTGATACTACTAGACAGGGTTCTTACATGGCCTCTACTCACATGCTCCAGAATAGCCTTATGACCATCAGGGGAGAAAAAATTCTAGTTCCTGCAAATCAAAACCACTTTGAGATATCATCTAACCCCAGTGAAAAGAATCCACATTATAAAGTCCTAAAGCTGCAGATGCTAGTGAGGGTGTAGAGAGAAGGGAACTCTTCTACACTGTTCATGGAATTACAAATTAATATAGCCTCTTTGGAGGGAACTATGGAGAATCAAATAACTTGAAAATAGAACTTCCATTTGTTTCCACAATCCCATTATTAGGAATCTACCCAGAGAAAAAAAAATCATTTTACCATAAGGACATATGCAGTAGAATGTTTATCACAGCTCAATTTACCATTGCTGAAATGTGGAAACAATCCAAGTGCCCGTCAATCCATGAATGGATTAATAAACTGTGGTATATGTATAGTGTAGAATACTATTCAATCATAAAAAGATGGAGATTTATATCTTTTGTATTAATATGGATGGAGTTGAGGAACATTGTACTTAGTAAAGTATCACAAGAATGGAAAAGCAAGTATCCATTGTAGTCAATGCTAATATGAAACTAGTATTCACTCACACAAGAGGAATGCATGATTAAACTCAATTGGGGTGGAAGGGGGGAAAAGGTAGAAGGATTGGTGCATCTCAATAGGCACGATATAAGGGTACATGCCACACATCATGGGTAAGGGGCACAACTACAACTTTGACTCTACCTAACAAATGCAAACAATGCACATCAGACGTCAGAAGCTTAGACTCACCACTTAGCCTTGGCTGTGGTATTTGCTTTGAGTGTGGCAATTGTCTGAAAGTTTTCTGCCATTCTAGGTTGCCCTTTCTAACTTCCTTGGCTACAAGAGAAAGCAATCTTTTTCTCAAGAATATTCTTTGTCGGCACCCATTGTGGTTTCTGGGTTACTGGCTTCCCAGCAAAAGGAAAACCCAGGGAATTCACACTCATATTAATCCTCAAGTCCAAAAGTCCCTAGACAGTTTAATTTCTCTGTTCCTTTCAAAGTTCTCTTCTGTTCGTATTATACATAATTTCCAGGGTGGGGGGTTGCTGTATTTTTAGGAGAAAGTGAGAGAAATGTGTTCATTCCATCCAGCTCCAGTAGAAGATGCTCCAAATTAGTTTTAAATACGAGGATTCCCTTTTCTATAGGAGAAAGTGGCTTTTCCCCTCCCTGACTTGTTAGTTTTGCTTCCTCTCCGCTTTCTTTTCCTAACTTTGAGGGATTGGCTCAGAAAGAATTCCATCATTAAATAAACTCATGAGGTCACTGCTGCCAGCTGTGACAGTGTCTTAACCACTCCTGTGTTAATAAGGTCTTTTCTGTAGTCATTTACACATGAGACGTAGACATTAATAGCATATGTTGGTTAAATTCTCAACATATGCTGACCAGTTTTTCAAACTGATATTCCAGTCTTGCTTGGTGCTACTGTTTTATGGAGACTTTCTATAATAATAATAAGTGATTAATACGAAGTTATTAATTAGCAATATTCTTAAAGCTAGATTTTCTTGTCAGGTTAGTCTATGGATTTGCATCTTTGAATACCCTCTTTCTTCTCCCAAGCACTTGTATCTAGGAGGCCATACGTAGTATCACTGTCTGAGAGATTAAAATTACGTTGTTCTAGCTAGAGATAGAGGTGAGAATGGAATTAACAATCCAGGTGGGGGGTTGAATACACACTGGAAGTTTTATACTCACTATCTAATTTACTCCTCAAATTAAAGACATGATGTATATTTTACCAATGAAGCATTTTCAAGGTCACATTATAAGTAAAACCCAAGCTTGGATTGAACCCCTACTGTAAGTATAGCACCATCCAGTAGCTCATGAACCATTCACGCATTATTTACATACCATTAAACCAATCCATCAAACATTTTTCTTTAAAAGTAAAGGTGATGATAATAGAAAATACTACCTGGCATTTAAGGGAAAGTATTATTTAATGAAAATAAAAACATTTTAATATATATTTATGAACCTAATGTGTGCACTGAGTCCCAGTGCACAAACCATTATTCATAATTTAGCTGGCAGTCCAGAAAGTCTGGGACTATTTAGGTGACCTTCTGAGATACTTCTAAACCTTCATCAAAGAGACATCCTTTACCATATCCACTGTGCTTGTACTTTTCCAAGAAAACACATATCTGTCCAAAAGAAAAATTTACTTTTTGAAGCTCCAAATATTTACAATCCAGAATCTCTGGGTTAACACGGAAAGTAGTTATTTCTTTGGCAAATACTCATGCTAGCGTATAACTCTGGTTGCCCATGATGTATGTGTCTGCATGTGTGTTTGTGTGTATGTGTATATTTCTAGTGAATATTTTGTGCCATTTGACTTTTTTCATACTCACCACAAAACTCTAAAACAAAGAGAAAATCCCAGTCATTTTCACAATGAGATAAGAATTACAAACTTAATGTACCAAAAAGAAATTGAATTCCGGCTTGGCGCCTATAGCTCAACCGGCTAAGGCGCCAGCCACGTACACGTAAGGGTTCAAATCCCCAGCCTGGACCAGCCAAACAATGACGGCTACAACCAAAAAATAGCCTGGCGTTGTGGCGGGCGCCTGTGGCCCCAGCTACTTGGGAGGCAGAGGCAGGAGACTCGCTTGAGCCCAGGAGTTGGAGGTTGCTGTGAGGTGTAATGCCATGGCACTCTGCCCAGGGCGACAGCTTGAGGCTCTGTCTCAAAAAAAAAAAAAAAAAAAAAAAAAGAAATTGAATTCCAGTGGTTAAGAGGGAAGATTCAGAGTTATACAGGTATATTTCGAATATAGGCTTTGTCACTCAGAACCCTGGGCAGGTTTCTACTTAATTTTCTTAATCACAAAAAGGTAATAACAGTACCAACTAACTCATTGTGATAATGTTAAATTAAAATGAGGTATATATTCAAAGTCATCATAAAAGTAGAATCATTATTGGGGTGGCGCCTGTGACTCTAAAGGGTAGGGCACTGGTCCCATATGCTGGAGGTGGCGAGTTCAAACCCAGCCCTGGCCAAAAACCGCAAAATAAAATAAAATAAAATAAAATCATTATCAGAGTATCTGCCTGACAGCAAAAAGTTAATAATTCTTAGCTATTAGTCTATTCCATCTGCAGTAAGACATTTCCTGAAACCAATAATTTGAAAGGCATTTTTGAACAGTTTTAGGCAACAAAAGAACCATTTTGATTTCTTGTTAGACTTGTTAGATTGCCCTTTTTTTCAGAATTTACTAAAAAATAAATTAGGGCAGAGCCTGTGGCTCAAAAGAGTAAGGCACCAGCCCAATTTGCCAGAGGTGGTGGGTTCAAACCCAGCCCTGGCCAAAAACTAAAATAAAAATAAAAAGTAAATTAACATTGTCTAAGTTTTTATTATAAATAATTGTTGGCTGATTTTAGATACAAGGAAAAGCTAAGAAAATCATGTTTTCTTAACTTTGTCTCTTTATATTTAAACAGCCATGTCTATACAAACTCGTCAAATTCTAATCTGTCTAATTCTGGTTTAACTGATTTAAATTTGTGAGATGAAATTCAGAGCCAGAAATTATGTAGCAAAGCTGGATTTCTGCACTGAGGCACGAACCGAAAAGCTGGTACTCCTATGTAGGGTGTTTTGAAAATGACACAGACACCTCAGGGCATCTTTGATGAAAGAACTTTTGATATTGCAGGACAACCCGGAACCGTCCGTGTTCCCAATGCAAAAGGGCTCCCTGAACCTCCTGAGGCAGAAGTGGGAATCCAGCGATTACCAGAAAAGGGAGTGTTGTCCCAGGCTCAGTCGTGTTCCCCTTCTCCAGCCTCGGGACAGCAAATTGCTCGAGCCTGAAGGAGAGACGTTGTCAACACCTGAACCTCCAGATTCCTCAACTCCGCCCTGCGGCACCGGAGATGAGATGTTGAGCTCAAAGACTGAAAAGAAGTGTCCGGAGGAAAAGAGGGACACCTCCAGGGAATACGGCCCCCCTGAAGTGCTGAAGGAGGGGTCCCTCAGTGGCCGCCGCAGGATCGAGCGCTTCTCCATCGCCCTGGATGAGCTGAGAAGTGTGTTTGAGGCTCCTAAGAGACCTGGTGGCCCAGCTGAGTACGGCCGAAAGGTAAGAAACCATCGATGGAGGGTCTGAGTTTAGGCAGCTCATTTAGCCTGCTGTTTACTGCTAAGCATGTAATTTCCCCCCAACCTATACAGTCCAGACAGATGTCGTGCAGCAACCGTGTCATGCGGTGTGAATGCAGCGTCCTCTCATTAATTCCCTCTATGATCTGTTGCAGTGTGGACTCGACCTCTTTTCACTCACACAAAAACAATTCAGATATGCCCTCTTATGCTGATGTTTCTTTATGTACGTGCCCTGTTTCCACAACTGGATTGTAAATTCCTCAGAGGCAGGCACAATTTCTAACCACTCTTTGCACCTCAAACCTCTAACAAGCAGTGTTGCTTTTAGCCAGGGCTCAGTGAGAACTTATCTGTAATGATGGTGAAATGGAAAAAAGGAAAGCATCAGAACCACGGTGATGCGGGTTCCATCCTAAAACCTGGCATTTACTTCTCTAGCTAAATGACACTTAATCAGCTACATGACAGGGATCTTAGGAAGATTACAGATAATATATTTAAAGCACTAAGAGTAGAGTCTGGAATATTTTGTGGTAGAGGATGACCATGCATCAGTGCTACTGGTGGGCTATAATGTTGCATATAAAAATATCTATTAGCCAAAGAGGACATTTAATCAAATGCAGGAAACAGGATTAGCAACATTATTAACTAGGACCATATTTATACTTCAGTTGCCAATTAACAGCAACTACTTCTTCAACTGGGATTACTAGAATTTAAAATACTCATTAAGGTCCCTACATAAGAGAGATTATAGTTGAGTTGTATAAAGAATTAATAAGTCATCTGAAGTTTTGCACAGGGAAGCAAACTTCATACTGTATTACTTTTTTTTCACCCAATGACAGTTATTAGGAAGATACACAGTCCTACACTCTTGTTAATGGATAATTAGCCTTCATAGAAAACATCACTGATACAGAAAATTTTTAAAAATTATTTTGCTAATATTTGTTCTCACTTTTCCTACCCTTCGTGAACACCAAATAACTCTAATTGGCTTTATGAGAATAAGGGATATGAAGTTATACTTAAGAGGTTATGTCAAGACTGGTAGTCTTTCAAGAATGCAACTGTTGGGTGGTGCCTGTGGCTCAAGGAGTAGGGCACTGGCCCCATATGCTGGAGGTGGTGGGTTCAAACCCAGCCTTGGGCAAAAAATAAATAGATAAATAAATAAGCATGCAACTGCTTGCTAATTCCTGGTTTAAGGCTTTTCTTTTCCTTTCTTTTATTCCACATGTGTAACCCGTTTTGTTTGTACTTTTATAATATCTGTCCGTTGGACGTTCAGGGATTGGGGTACACTCAACACAGATATTTACAATGTCATTTTTTAAATCTTTGTAAATTGAGAAAAGTAATAGTTTTTATTCAAATCTCTGTTGAATGTAGTGTAATCATTTTGAAGATTTACCCAAGATAATTGACAAAAGAAGTAGCCTAATGTAGAAAAGCCATCCATACAAATTATGGAATATAACAACATATTCTCATTTGGATGAGCTGTAGCTACTTAAATGCAATAGTAAGAAAATGAAGCATTAATGAGAGTTTCTTGTTTAAATGTGAGATTTCTCCTATTCAGCATGGTGTGTGGTTTGCCATTTAGTATCCATAAAACAATTATGAAAATATAATACATGTGAAAATCACCCTTTGACTTGAAAACTGAAGTTCATTTAGTATATTTAATATGCTGCTTTAAATATTCTGAGGTGTTTTGTTATATACTTGTATTTTCCTAGTGTTGGACTCTGTACATTTGAAACTTTTTTAATCCACAGCAGACACATATGTTAGAATCAGTTTTGGTAAATAAGCATCAGAAATGTTTACAAAATTCTCTTTCCAAATATAAGAAGAAAAAAGGGAAAAGAAAAAGAGAAATCAATGAGGAATTAAATTGCATTCTCCAAATGAACTTTTTGTTAAAGTCTTAAGCTTGTGGCAAGAACTCTAGTTCAATCAAATTTGAAATTATATTCACCCTATGCCATAGTCATTATATACAACATAACCCTTAGGTTCTCTAGATCGTTTCTTCTTCCTCTTATAAACACTTTATATTATTAAAGTGTTTCATTATGAAATAATGAGATCATGTTTATTTGCATACATTATGCAAAATGATACTAGCTACTTTATAACACTCATGGAGATTCTCAATTGAGATATTGGTAACATGGGGCAAAGAATTTGATATTTATTACATTTAAAGAAAGAGCAGAAAATATTTCAAAGAAGGATAATCTTTTGCAATTAGCAAATCATCGCAGCAATTAGGAACAATGAACTGCATTTTAATGTGGCTGTAGAAGGAAGCTCTTCAGCAATTGGCACGTCATTGAAAATACTTATAAAATTATTGGGGTTAAATGAGAGTTTGTAGAATTTTTAAAAGTATGAAATACTATATAAATATAGATTTGCATTATTACATACATATGTATCTATGTATGTATGAGTGTATATGTTTGCATTTTTGTCTAAAACATTTTTAGGAATCTTAGAAGAAATATAAATTTTTATTAATTACAAAATGTTAACTTAAGGACAATTTGGGACTTGGCGCCTGTGGCTCAAGTGGCTAAGGCACCAGCCACATACACCTGAGTTGGCAGGTTCGAATCTAGCCTGGGCCTGCCAAACAACAATGATGGCTGCAACCAAAAAATAGCCTGGCATTGTGGCAGGCACCTGTAGTCCCAGCTACTTGGGAGCTGGAGGCAGGAAAATTGCTTGAGCCCAGGAGTTGGAGGTTGCTATGAGCTGTGATGCTACGGCACTCTACCCAGGGAGACAGTTTGAGGCTCTGTTTAAAAAAAAAAGGGACAATTTGGTTCAGAGGGTATTTGTTAATAGAAAAAGAGTCTAAAAGATTCTTTTTAAAAAATTTTTTTATTGTTGGGGATTCAGGGATAGTACAAGAAACCAGGTTACACTGATTGCATTTTTTAGGTAAAGTCCCTCTTATAATTCTGTCTTGCTGGCAAAAGGTGTGTTACACACCGAGACCTAAAAGATTCTTAATATTATTTTCTGTAAGTGTACAAGTTCATTAAAAAGAGGTATCAACCTCTAACAAAAATTCAGTTTCAGAATCTTCAGAATCTTTGTTAAAACAACTTATCCTATTATAATTAATATAAAATTAAATTATTCTTAAAATAATTCTGCTTGCTGTCATTTTATAATTTTTAAAGGTTGGCCTGTTAAAGCAACTTAGAATGAACATTTAAACTGAAGTTTTTGTACTTTTGAGGCAAGATATAATTCAAAGATATAAATTCACCTAAGCATCTTCCCAAGTAAATGGTATGTGGAACATAACATTAAAAGAGTTTTTGAGAACTTGGCAGAACATGTTATAAAACTACAAATCTTGGGCCAGGCATGGTGGCTCATGTATGTAATCCTAGCACTCTGAGAGGCTGAGGATTCAGCCTCTTCAGTAATCTGAGGTGGGCAGATTACTTGAACTATATATCATGAGTTAACAAAAACAACAGAAGAATCCATGTTGACAACTATTTGTGAAGGAAACTCATGTCTTATTCTTTCTTTCGATTCAGTTAAGTGACTAGTATGATGATAGTTATTGTTGTAGGCAGAATAATGGCCTCCCAAAGATATTTACATCCTAGTCCCCAGAGTATGTTAAGTGTGCTATCAAAAGGGACATTGCAAAGGTTATTAGGTTAAGAACTTTGAGATGCAAAGACTTTCCTTTATTATCCCAGACAAAACCTGGGATAATTTTAAGAGGGGTACAGGAAAGTCAGAGTGAAGGTTACTCAGAGATGGAGCTATGATGGCTGCAACAAAGGTTGAGTGAAGTACAGTTATGACCTCAGGAATGCGGGCAGCACCTTGAAGCTAGAAGGGGGACAAAAGTGCATGAAACAGCCAAGGAAGTAGAAGAAGCATGTGAGAATGACACAGAAATTGCAGAGACTCCAGAAGATAGAAGATGTCAGGAGTCTGATAACGCAGTTGAATTAATTTGCTGCAGAAAAGATGCCCGTGAATGTTGAGTGGTGCAGCTAGCCAGTGTTGAGATGCTTTCTCCACTGACATCTGTCATAAGAATAAGAAACAGACCAAGACTGACTCTTTTTTCAGAAAGATTGATTAAACAGTAAATATGTTGTTCTTTGTATGATAGATATGTATTACTTTACTGTGTTTTGAGTATGTAAGATTTCTTATGACATTCTCTAATAAAGGCTGTACAAGAAAGTATGTATCGGAAGAATAGGCCTACTTCCTTATGTTGCCCACCTCTGTATGTTGACCAGTGTGTTACCGTCCCTTGGGTGGTCAGCCATGCTGGTGTATATGATTGTGGAGTTTCTCTCTGCTCCTCCATGATGAATACATACCCATATTTCAAAATCTGGTCTTTGACCTTTTTTGTGTGTTTGTATTTGATGGTATGCATGCTTATAATATGTAATTTGAGAATATTCATAAAGCTTAATAAGTCTTTGTTTTAGATGATCTATATTGATTTGCAACAAATTCGTTTTAGATGAGCTGTGTTGATATGCAATAGATAGCCACTGAAAGGAGTGAATTAATCAGAAAAGAAAGTTAAAGAAGTTTGTTTTTTTTAAAAAAAAAAAAAAAGAACAAGAAAGAAAGGAGGGAATATTAGAAAGGGACATGTAAACCCAAAAAGCACGTGGGACTCATTTGCTTTAATCCATATTTCCTTCTACGGGTGATACAGATTATGTGGAATATATGTATATACAATTTTTATATAAAATGAATTTAACCCTGGCCACCCACTTATGAATGGAAACAGTGTTTAGAGTAATGTGGGGCAGAACAGGGAGGTATAAGCTCCTCCTTTTTCGAAGATACTAGTCACTGTCCTCAGGACTGGAAGAAGATGGACGCTCAAAGGTGGGAGGCCACTAAAAGATCCCTCTGGCCTTCAGTACGTGTACGTTCACACTGTTAATA